GTTAAGAAAATACAGAAATGACAGAGAATTTGAAGTTCTTAGTTGTTTCTCATTTAAGTCATTAAGTTTATTAAGAAAAAGACACAACGCGAGGAAACTATCAAGCCACAATGCCTACTGAAAAATCCTACTACACCGTCCAAATTATTTACGGAATAAATTAATTTGGCAGGCATGCGAAATACTTTCGCGGCAAGAGCCATGCCATTATTTCGTGTGGTCATGCTTCCGGCTGAAATACAACGCCTGTAAAGATGGGACAATCGCTGTCGTTTGGGGTAGCATAATTTGACGGCTGGGCGCGCGTCGCCGCCCGAGGCGTTTCACGGACGACTGGTCACGTGATGGCCGGTCACGTGACCGCCCGGGGCTATCGGGCGTCACAGCTGGGCGTCCAGCAGGGTCGCCGTGGCGCGCGGGGCCGACGCCGGGTCAGCGTGAACCATGACACCGGCGGGGGCGGCGACTTTCGCTGGCTTCGTTTTAGGCCGGGGCGGCGCTTCGCCGTCTATTGTTGGCCGTACGGACAATGGAAACATAAATCACTTGGACGTCTCAGTGTAGGGTGAAAAATTTATTTCTATAAAAATCAGCATCCACGAGAAAGCTATGCAAAGTGCGCAAAGTGGGATTTGGTGTCTTCCGGCACTTGAGCTGGAAGTGTGACGGCAGAACATTACCGAGGCGTAAAATGTAGGCTCAGCAAGAAAGAGCTGTGAAACAGGTGTGCCCAGAATAGATGATAATAGCAAATAGCTGAAGCAAACAAATCATTCATTTTTTTTGCATTTAGCACTGAGTGCATTATGGGCACCTGCCACATGACATGCTACAGAAGCTCGTAACAGCGTGTGACATAATAAAATTACGCAACATAGGGTTGCCGTGAGACGTTTCTTGTCGAAATGCTTGTTATACCAAGCCCTGTCGCTGTTCCACTCATATACATAGTCAGGGGAAGGAGGCCCAATTTTGGGCCGAATAACGCAAAATTGGGTAGAGCTTAGCAAAGGGTGGTTTCTGGGACAAAAATGACCGCTGAACCCGAATCTGACCGGTGCGCACCTCTAACTAATGTTGCACCACTTCCAGAGCACGTGCAACTGCGTGGTTCTTCTTTTTTGAAGAATGGTACCCTTTTTATATATTTTAACATAAAATTAGTCGTGTAGTTGTGTTGTATTCCAAAACTTTAATATTATAGTCAAAATTTATTGCATAAATGAAAATCCTAGTTAACGCATATCGCAGACAATCTATGACGTCACTGTGACGTCATCTATTCGTAAAATGACGAGAAAATGAGGTGTGACAACAAAACATTTAACTTTACCTATTCACAGGATACGCTCATTGGCGGGTTCAAAATGCATTGAGCATGCTCAGAAAATATCTCCCCGTTGCAAAAGTAAAAATCGTCTGGATGGAGGTGCCATTTTGGCCTACAGGGGGCGAAATCCGCGGAGTGTGCGTCTTTACCCCAAATAGTTTTTTGTGCAATAGCTTGGCAATGCTGAATCGAATGCAAGACATACCGTCTATATTAGACTATATATTAGTCTATATATATCTATATATCTATCTATATATATAGCCTATTATATACCTATTAGTCTATATTAGTCTAGTCTAATTATATATTAGTCTATATTATTAGACATACCTAAATGAAAACTAAAGTAACTTTTTCATCCGTAGCCTGAGAATGTAAGCGTCTCGTCTGTGATCGTTCGTGCATGAAAACAGAACAGCAGTCATCCACTTATTAAACTGATGTCATTTAAATCAAGAAGTGAAACTAAACAGGTAAGTAAAGTGCGCCCTGCACCGTCACTGAATCACGTCTTCGGAACTTCCTGTACCAAACCACTGACCTCAGTGTCTCGCTACTCCCGCAGGGTCGGCCGGCGTCGGACGGCGGCCTGATGCCATGAGAAGCTGCGATGACGGCGCGGAAGGTGTACCTCTACTGGGCGGCAGTTCTGATGTGTTCTGCACAGCTCCGAGCGGCCCCTGCCCCGGGAGGGAGGCAGGCGACCGAGCGAGCTGGGCTGCCTTCAGCACGCGCCTACTTCAGTGATGGCTCGTCGCTCTGGGTCGGAAGAAGGCACATGGCCAGATCGTGGCGGGACAGGACACCGGCGGGGTATAGGAACCGAGTGAGACAATCACCTGCACTGACAATGACACAGTCACCGGCAGTGACACAGCCGCCGACACTGACACAGACACAGACACCAACTTTAACACAGACAGACCAAACGTCAGCACAGATGAGGCCGCCTAAACTGACACAAGCACAGCCGCCGGGACTGACGCAGACACAGCCTCCCGAACTGACACACCGGACGTCGTTAGTATCGCAAGAAGGCGAGGATCGTTCAGGGATCGACGAACACTCTGTTGTGGATGACACGACTGAGAGTGAAATACAAGCAAAGGCAAAGGCTATTGTGAGCGGAGTTCGAGTGGATGAAAATGAATGGCGAGCCGGTTACGGTGCGATGGAAACATATAATCATAATAAAGAACATACTACGATGGAGCCTCAGCGACCGTCTGAGAGGGTCACTTATCGTCCCCCGCCGAAACTGTCGTATATACAGCGACGGAGGCCGTTCGGAGCTGCGGCCACGATTGGGGGATTCGGGACAAGCATTGCTGGGCTTACCCCAAGACCCAGTCAATCGACACTATCACCGGTAGCGACAACTGCGTCTCGACCTTCCACACTCCCATCTGAGCCATCAGTAACGCTTGTGGCTAATAAGCCGTCATTTCCTCCCACGCAACATTCAATACATGACGCTGGCAGCAGGCGCCCAGTAACTGAAGTGAAGGCGCCGGGACACAGAGATTCGACGGACACACAGAGTCCAACAGGAGGCTCCCGAGATCATCTGCCAGTGATAAACGCTGCGGGTCTGGTACCGGGTAGTGTGATCAACACAAAACTCAGCGTGGGTCTGACGATACCGGATAGCGGCCACCAGACCACACACCAGCGCAGGACTACTGCTAGTCCGGACAAGATAACCGAGAATACGCCACTAAAGGGAGCAAGCACGTTCACAACAAGCATCATCCAAAGAAGGAAACCTTTTACGAGTCGTCAGCCGGCGCATACACCTACAACTTCTACACCATCCGTTGAAGTTCTGAACTTATACGAGGTCGGCGTGCTTCCCAACGTCAGCAAATTCCTGAACCAGTCTCGAAAGAGCGGTGGTCTGTCTCAGGGAAGCCGTGGGCAGGCAGGGCACTGGCACAGCAGTAGCAGTGGAGGCACCAACAAGGTGACGTTTCCGCTTTACGTCCTGCCAGCCCTACCGGGTGCTCCGCCTCCCCCAGACTGGCCCACTGTGCGACCCAGCACCGTCTGGTCCTGCTGCAAAGGTCACCCGGGACACGTCACTTCAGTGGATCCCCCTGACCGGCCCGTGTACCCCAGCGTGGGGTCCGGTCACCGGCCGATCCGGCCGCCACCGCAGCCGCCTACAATACCCACCAGACGTCCGCTGGTCCCACCATCCACCTCTTACGGCCCACCGCCTCTCCCTCCAGTCCCATCGCGACCCATCCCACCACCAGGGCGTCCGTGCGGCTCCAGACAGTGCGTGTACCGCCCCCCGCGGCCCCCGGCTGGAACCATATCTCCTCCGGCGCCACCGCCGACCGCTTCGGGTACCTCCCTCGGCAACGTGGGCGACGACCTGGTCTGTGTGTACCTGCGTGCCAATGGGTCGGCGCTGGTACTGCGTGCAGACCTCGCTACGGGTCGGTACAACATCAGCGATGAACACAACCATCCGCTCGGTGCGGCCGGGTGGTTGGGGTCTGACCAGACACAGCTGCTGGATCGGCCGGCATCCAGGAGTAAATACGAGATTGTCTACATTGATAATCTGGGTACTACCGTAAAACAGCTGATGACGCGTCTACGCAACAGGTCACAGCGCTGGGAGGAGACACACCGACCGAAAACCAGCATTGTCTGCATCGTACAGCGTCCGGAATCAAAACCAGACGAAGGGTTCAATTCAACAGTATCACCGAAGCCCTCTGAGGAGCCCGTAACGCCTAACATCAGCTCCACGGCCTCCACACCAACCACAGCTACCGCCACCGCATCCACCCCAACTCCTCGTCCCACCATCCTTGGATCGGTGGACACACTCTCAGCCACCATCGCTTCAGCTGTCGATACACTGGGTGCCACGGCTGAGGCACAACTGTCCAACACCATGACAGCTGCTGACCAGACGGCCGTCGTCATCGGCTCCAACGTCAAAAACTACATCGGCAGCAGCATCCCCAACATCGCACTGGCCACCACAGTTGGCATTCCTGTCTTTGTGGCGATGCTAGCACTGCTGGGCGCGCCTCCTCTCCTGCTGTCAGCTCTGTCGGTGTCGTCCCCGATCTTACTTCAAAGCGTGGCTGCCCTCTACAACAGCCTACCCAACTGAACGAGCGACGGTCTCTTGGGTCCCAAGGGGAGGAAACTGAGCTGGTGGGCGTGGTAGACGTCCAGCAAATGCACGTTTGTTTAAACAGGGTTAAATCACGAGCTGTGGACACGTCTTCAGGACGGGGGAGCTTGGCGTCCTGAGTGAGTCGAGTAGTGTAGGTATAAATAGTTGAGATATTGTTGCAAAGCGTCGTGAGGGCCAGACGACGATATTTGTTTTATTGTGATCGGTGCTGAAGTAACAGTGACGTGTGAAATACAGTGATGGAGGCATTCCAGAAATGCACATTGTTGAGTTCATGTGAAAAATGGGTAGCATGGGTAGCGATGATGCAAACAGACTATGCATGTACTGCGAACATCGCACAATCTGGAGTTCGTATTGGAGTGTGTGACGACCCAAGCGACGATTGGTAACAATTTGTGATTGATGACAAGTTCGTGAATTCATTTGCGGCACTTGTGTAATGAAACGTGGATAGCCACTGCTGCCTGTTTCGCACTGCGAAATATATAACACACATGTGAATAAATGTATTGTTTCTGTTTCTGTTTATTTTTTTTTTATAAAAGAAAACATTGCGCCATACGCAGAGAAAAGCAGTTGCTGAAGTTCAAAAGAAGCCTGCCACAGACTGGTGGTTCTGTTACACATCATTGATGCCTTAGTGGCAGTGCCGTTTAGAAAGGCATCTCGAGCTCGACACTCCCCTACACTCAATACTGACGAGAGGGGACACCGATCACACTGAGAGAACGTGGCAAGGTCATCGCATGGGCAGACGAGGGCATCAGCCTCGTTCACTACAGCCTGACTATTCACCAGAGAAAAAGTATAATCGCGCATGGTTCAAAAATGATCGAATGGCAGCCAGAGTACAGAGAAGGTTAATAAAAATATCACGAAAAACCCTAATTCAGCTTATCCAACTCATTGTAAACACATTATAACTTTATGCACACAGCTTGAAAACATGAAAGTATGAACCAGTTTGGGTTTTGCGCCCAGGAAACTTATGCGAACGAAATGCCCAAGACACCGAAAGTCCGGTAGAAAATTGGTCCTGAGAGGCAACGAAAACACGTCCAATCACGCTGTTTAAAAAAAATGCTATTTTAAAATCGCCCCAAAATGAGGATGTCAATGGCGCAAACTAAGATCGAAACCTTTAATGGGAAAACATCTTGATGTGAATGTGAATGGCCAGCTTGACTTTCAGCTAGCTGGCAAGGAGCTTGGACAAACAACGCTATGCAGAAAGGTAATATAAAACGGAAAGGCACGATAACACGAAACGCATGCAAAACACGTCTACAGCGTGACAATCGCGAACACTTTCATGAGCAGACATTGCAGCTCTCAGTCAAAACACGTCATCAAATAAGACAACTCAAAGGCTGTTTGCACAAATGTACAAATGTACAAATGTACGCTTCTTGATCTCACGTGCAATTGCGTACGTCACAAGCCACACACACACAACACATTGCGTACATTTACACCAAGCCGAGTCCTGTGCTTAGCAAGTCGTTCACAAACACACAGTGCCCGACATTAGGCACCCAGCTCGGAGCACCGCGCATCAGCACCGCGATCCGCAGGCTGACTGACCCCAGGTGAAATCCGGGGTTGCACCATTGACATTAGCAGCTACCAAGCTCAAGCACACTTTGCCAAGGCCCCGTTACAAAGCCCGTTCGAGGATGCAGATCAGATCAGACTTCAGGTTCATCGACATTCTGGTGTGCACTTCAGGATAGTTTCCAGACGAGCTCAGTAGCGACACCTGTAGTCCACTCGGATGTACTGAAGCTTCACAGTACCGTTACTACTATCGCTACTGCCGCGGTACCAGACCATACATCTGGCTCCAGCCGCCACTTTATCGAAGAGGCAATAATCCGTCCCGTTGACGTTGGCTGTTTCGTGGCTTTTTTCTCACCATGCAGTGTAGTGATAGCGTCAGGCGTCGGCCAACTATCAATCGCGTGCTGCAGTGGGCGGTGGTCGGAGCAGCGCTGCTGGAAAATCTCGTCGCATTGGTGAGCCGATGGACCCGGCAAAAATCAGACAACCTGAAAAGACCACTTAGTTCAAACATCCATCCTATTTACTTTCATACCTACCCCTCTTCACAGCAAGGACCTTATGACAGATAACACCTCTTTAGCGATATCTATAGTCTAGTCGGGCGCAGGCTAGAGCAATAACCACATCACCGGTAGGTAAATAAATGACCCAACATCATAATAGCCCGCAGCTGAATACACATTGCATCAGGCGAACAATTACAGGAAAAGGCGTAGTAGACCGTGGGCATCATGACGGAGCACATGTCAATAAACACTGCGACGGAGGTGAAGCGTGGGCCCCACAATGACGTTATTGTCTGTATTGGCGGTGCCACAGCAGTCGGAGGATGAGCAAAGAGGGCGTTAGCTGGCTCGTGGGTAGAGGCAGACAGAACATGACATACAAGGCCCCTTAGCAGGGGGGGGGGCGAAAGGGATGACACGAAAAGACCCGAGCACGAAGCCAGCATTTCGACCAAATGCTGGGAAGACGAGAAAAAAGAAAGAAAATCACTACACTACATAAAAACCGAACGACAATTAATGCATAAAACATCGCAAATAGTGCACCTTGCCACAGAAATTTCCCTAGTAAACTCACAGCCCACCCACTCACCCCTCAAAGCAGCGCGACGACAGCGGCCAGCAGGGCACTCAGCAGACCGACGCCCGCCGGTCGCAGCAGAGACGAGGGCGCAGAGTTACCGCTCGGCTTCTCTGAGATCAGCGCCTCTGTGAAAAGATGAGCAGGGAGCGGTCAGACTCCTGTGAAAGCTGGCGTGAGGAAGATCCCGGGTAATGATGTCATTATAAATGAAAATAAATGTAACTTTGAATAACGTCATAACGGTGGAAATTAACGTTCAACATGCTGACGAATAATGTATATAGACTGAAGACGAATTGTATATCAAAATAAAGTCGATCTTAGCTGCTGAATGGTGGTTGTTCATAAAGAGCCAATGTTGATCGATTATAACGGAAATATCGTTCAATGATCGCAGCAAGATAATCAGCGCGGGTAGCAGCGTGGCTTTGCGTTTGGTACGGATGCTACGGATGTGAGTACTACTCATTCTCAAGGTCTTCAGGTCTACAGCTAGCATAAAAACCATTCGTTAAAGGGACCATCCCACCTTAACATTAGTTTTGAGTTGAGATAGCCAAGTTTGCGGCCAGGCTCAGAAACCACCATTTATCCTGGTCGCAACCCCCGCAGCTTTATGGTGTTCAAGAAATTTCTTCCCTTTACTTGCAGGGTGGGACCAGCTTAGTCCCTATCTCTTAACCATTAGCGGTTTGTTGATGACGTCAGCAGTCATTTCAACGCCCGCCATTCCTTGAACCCGAGTTTTGCTGACCTTGAGCTCCCTTTTTTATCATCGTGAAATCCGTCGTCGGCGCTGAGAAAGCCTATTGCTTTTCATTTTAATTTGAATATTAGATGATACCCACCACTGGAACTTGGACTGATATTATACCAAGGCCGAAGATGATCAAGCTGCCTGCTATATCTGGAGCTTGGTGTTCAACTTCAACATGGAATGAAAAACAAAATATCAAAGCAAACTGGATATGGTACTGCAAGTTTAAGTCCAAAGAAATTTGAAGAGCTGACAATTGACATTAATTCTTTTCCCGCAAGGTTTCCATAGGAGATCACACCATGAAGAAATATTTTTGATGTTAACAGTTGAAAGGGGATTGATCTTCCAGTTTTGACGAAAGACGCTGCTGACTGTCTTTGGAAAAGGATGTCGGCATGAGGTGCAATTGTGCTTGTGAAGTGGTTATAACTGGTCTTTTCACAGTGTTAAATTAAATGTGCCATTGCAGCCAAGTGTGTTATCATGTAAGGTAAAATCAAAACTACAATGTTGGTTTTACGAGCATTGAGAAGGCTGGTAGGTAACACCTGCCTGTGCTCGTAAATCATGCTGCCAAAGTATTCTAAATTAATTTTATCATACACTTTTGTTGTCCAGAATGGTTGCACTATTGTTTGGTATCATATTATTCCATGTACAGTCTGTCTTAAAAGTACCGCGCAAAGTGGCGGTGGATCCATCAAGCCTGACCGAGAAAGGTCTGCTTTAATTTGAAAGTCACCGAACCAATTGAGCTGGGGAATGGACGAGGATGTCCATTGCTTCGGTGACCCAAATTTAGCAGGCCCTTCCTCAGTCAGGCTCGATGGATCCACCGCCACTTTGCGCGGTACTTTTAAGACAGACTGTACATATGGTAGTGTTACGTCCGACCAACATGTTACCAGATTTGAAGCTGTTACGTTACCTAAGTACCTAGGTACCTGTTTTTTTACTGGCGTGGTGAATGTCACCTGGATTTTGTTTTGAGGTGCAGACCTAGTAACTCTGACTACATGGGTTTGAAGCTATTATCTATTCTGTTTTTACTGGCCTGGTGAATGGCGACTGATGTTGTCCGTGGATGGCACTGAAACAAATTTTGAGTGTCAACTGCCATGTACAGTGTTTTAATACAATGCTGAGGGCTGAAAGTTGTCTTGTTTAGAGTGGTGAAAGTTCAGGATATGCCAGCCACCATGGTGGGTCAGAGTTAATGTGTTGCAGTCAGTTCGGCTTCGGCAAGCACACGGATGGGCATACGCATCAAGACCTGCTCTGCCATACTTTCAGCCAATTTTACCTAGGCAAGTCTTTTCTTTTTTTTTCTGCCAAAAGCTATGACATTGTGAATTTCAGTGCTGTGGCCTGTGTGTAGCTTTCAGGAAAGCAATTCTAAATAAAGCTCTGATAAAGTGCATGAAATCAGCAATGCAGCCCTCTATTACATTTTCTACATCTTACTTGTTCCTTGCATTGAGAGAAAAATGCAATGTTATGAATTCGTTTATTCACATAATTTGACAAGCATGCAGTTACCTGCTACTATCACTGCACAAAACAGAGCAGAAAACATCAGTTGATCAAACACAAGACACAACAGAAGTTTACAACATAGGCCTGCCGAACCTGCTTCCTCCCACCACAGTTGATGCCATTTCCTAGCCTGGCTTGATGTGAGCACTGAATAGCTGCTTTGTCTAATTACAGCTCACTACCATTCAACTTAAACTACTCTCTTTAAAGTAAGAGTGAGAGCGTTCAGTGTTCATAGCAGCTCGACAGACGACAGACAACAAACATCTTGACAAACCAACCAGTATTTGATTTGGCTAATGATTTATGTGCCTGTTGTATCATGGCCAAACTACTTTAACAGCAATAATCCCTGTTTCATCTTGATCTTGCTTTTAATTCCATTTGAACTCAGATCTTGAAACAATCATCTGAAGTGATATCAGATACTGGCTTCTGTTTCTCTTGAAAGCAAGTTAAAACAACAATGATAAACTAAGGCAGGAGATGTGAGTTGTGGCAGTAGATTTTTGATTCAACATATGTCAACCTTATATTGCTTGAGACCTCTGTGACAGACAAACAAATATTTATAGTTTTTCGATAGTTTGGATTCTTGGCTTGATTTTGCAGATCAGCTGTGAACCTTGACTTTGAAATCACATAAATGTCATGGTACCCGAACGAATCCTCGCATGACATTTCTTCGTCCGCATTTCTTCGTCTACAAATCTTCGTCGGTGCATTTATTTGTCCATCAATGCTTACTCTTGCATATATTTGCGTTGAAGAAGAAATGCGAGCCGATTTTCATATACACTGATGCGAGACAAAGTAATGCGATACGAATAAATGCCCTGACGAAGATTTGCAGACGAAGAATTGCGATACGAAAAAATGCCATAAGAAGAATTGTCCTGGAATCCTTTGTTGGCCATCATATATTGACCTTGATAAGATAAACGCATCATTCGCGCAATATTTGTCGCACTTTGATACCAAATTATTGCTTCCAAATGCCGACGTAAAGAAAACCTTTATGTGACGTCATAGAAACAGCGGAGTTCCCAAAAAGTAAACAAAAATAAAAGTCTTATATCTCGAAAACGGTTGAATATTTTCCGGTAAAATTTGGTAGATGTTCATTTTCGCTCTTTGTGATTCACGCTACATCACTTTTATGCCAATTCATTAACTTTTTTGAAGGTGGGAGGGTCCCTTTAACACCACACGTTAAGGTGTTGGCTGAAAGATACGGTAAAAACAGTACCCAGTTATATCCCGTCTGACATAACAATCAAACCTGAATATGGATTATGGATTTTGTTAGTTGGAGCACACACCATCGAAAACACCAGCTGTAAAGCACAAAAGGGTAAGTTAGACCGCACTTCCACTGTGACACTGTTCCACTAAGCCCTGTTATCTGGTGACATGACGCATAACTTGTTAGTTCCTCTACCAAACAGCATTCTGGAGCGCTATCAGCGTGTTTGTCACATCCCTCTGCCAACGCATCAAAAACCACCGCCATCCGCTCAGCAGACCGCCCCGGTTAGTTGCACCCATAGGTCAGAGGTCACGTGACCTACCTCCGCCCCGGACACCGCCGACGCTCCCGCCTGAAACGTCAGTCACGTGACTCAATGACCAACTCAGCGGACATGTGACGCCGCCACAATGACTGACGCTGACTTTTAATTGACATGGCACCTTCAGATATCAATGACAAGGCCAAAATAGAGATATTACCGGCAGGCCGTTGATATTTTCCATCGAGAAACATGAGTGTTACATATCGTAATAAAAAGCGAAGCAGCCTTTTCATCAACACCGCTTTCATGCCCTTTCAATTTACATCGTAACCTCCACTGTCCTGTCCCTCATCTTTCCCTTTCTAGAGAGTCGCCGGGGCTCAGCCCCGGCGACTCTCTAGGGTGTCTGCCCTGACCAATGTCTCCCCCTAATTCCTATCATCCTTCCGGTTCTGAAATGGTCTTGCCAGACCGAAAGGGCCTAACCCAACAAAATAAAACAAACAGCCCCATATCCAAAGCGCTTCATTTCATCACTCATCGGCGGACTCATGCCCCCCCCCCAAAAAAAAACACCCAACACTCCCATTCTCTTCCACTCACTGGCGCCAAGCGTGGAGAAGCGGAACGTATCGCTGGCCTCACTCCAGCCGTACTGATTCCTCGCCGTTACAATCGCCTGGTATACCGCCGCCGACTCCAGGCTCTTCAGCATGGCCTTCTGGCTGTAGACGATGCTGTCTTCTGCCCGGCCCGGCGCGGCCACGTACGCCACCTCGAGCTCGTTCCAGTCCTGATCCGGCTCGCCGGCCTCCTGACGGACATAGAGGGTGGCGGTAAGGTGGTGAGGGAACATAATCCATAACACAAAAGTGGACGTTAGTAGGCAAACGTACTGCGTAGATCGTACAAACCGTTCATAAATTCACTTTTACTAATAAAAATATTCATTACATCGTTTGAGTCGTATAATTTTGCATCAACTTGATTATCGAAGAATCATAATAAAACGGGCAAATTAAGTGCGAGTGAGCTGCTTGTCGGAACGTTTCTATGGCAATTGAACTTTTCCTCACCTGAATCTTCCGGTACAGGATTTTATACTCGATGGGCTCGGCGTAGCTTTCGACGCTCCAGCGAATGTTGAACATATCCTTGTCGTTGCCGTTCGGGTCCGACAGCACCTTCACCGGCTTCGGCTTGCCTACGGAAGCGAAGGGATTGACATTATATTGGAAAGTCAGCAGTGTGTAATGGTAGCGGAAGTGGCTCCATATCCCGTATTACGTATCGGAAGGGACAACTGACTGTAAATTGGAATCAGCAGCTTCTCCTTCCCCCAAAAAAACCATAAGCATAACATGCGCTGATCTGGATGTTTGAAGATCTCAATATAAGCGATTAAAATGAATCATGATAGAAATACACACAAAAAAATGCAGGCACATGAGTCGTTTAACCCCATCTTAAGCAGACATGTGCATGGATCCGAGTGATGGATCTATGATCTCAGTGGATCTCGAGGAAAATTGCAGGTTCGGATCTATGATCCCCATAGGCGTAGGAACTTTTCGAAAGTGGGGGGGGGGGGGGGGCCAGGGTCCCAGAGGTCCAAAACCTAACCTACCCCCAAAATCCGATTTCTCCTCGGATTTCGGCCACTTTGTTTTCGCAAACATGCTCTGAGGTTAAAAAAAAAAATCGAGACAAAAAAAAGAGAAAAAAATGGTTGAAATTTCAGGGAGTCTCCCGTCCATAAACTCAAACTGATGGACGCGTTCCCCTGTCCTCCGCAGCCGTTGGCACCCATGCAAATTCCAGAGGCATCCAGCAACTTTTTCATTACGAGCAAGCGTGAAACGTGCAAAGCGAGTCTTTTCAATATACCTATAAAAATCAGCATGAACGGCCCAGCTAGGCTCAGCCAGGCCTATAACGTTTTTAAGAGGTTTTATATCAGCGATCACTGCAACTGGGCTGATTGACTATCACTTATCAGAGGCCGGTGTGGGACTTTTAGACGGTCTGGGCCTTCAGAGGCCAGTTTAACCCTCCACGGCCCGGTCCTATAGGTTTTCTACATACGCGCTGGCCGAGGGGGCGGGGGCGGGTACGACCCCCCTCGCCGTTTCGCCCCAGGTGGAGCTAGCGCGTCGCGGTAAAACGAGCGTGTGCGCCGTTACGAGACGCAGAGATCGATACCCGATTTTATGGTCCTAGGTCAACCGGTGACCTCTGACACCGTTCCGTGCTTCTATCCTCAGGATACTGAAATCCTTCTCCTCCACACCGCAACCCCCTCCGGGCTGGACAGGCAACTTTATCTCATGCGGGCTGCTCCCTTGGAGCGGCACCGCTGCTCCCGAGGGAGCGCACCCCGTAGCCGGGTGCAGTGAGTGCCTTGGGGCTGGGTGGCCTGTCCTCTGGACGGGCTCAGCCCCGGCGACTCACTAGGGTGCCTGCCCAGACCAATGTCTCCCCCTATATCCTATCATCCTTCCGGCTCTGAAATTGTCTCATTGGACCGAAAGGGCCTAACCCAACAAAACAAACAAAAACCGGTGACCTCTGAGGTCAGGTCAAGTGCCTCAAGGCACGGTTCCGTTTTTGGTGAATAACTTCGCAAAAATGGCCGCAGAGCCGCGATTTTGCCAGCATCGTGTTCGCCTCTCTCAGGCGCGTCGAATGATATACTTTTTGTTTGGGTGAGGTAAACTTAGGGTGTTGACCTCGGGTCACGGTCAGGTCGGCGTCCCCAGGTCACGAAATTGGTCGAAGGAGGTCATGTCGCATATCATTCGATTCGGCAGGTCTTCTTGAGTCCATAGGTGGCTTTCCCGACTCGCTAGCTCAATTTGATCGGTACCTAGTTATTGACAAAAAACTAATAAGACCCTTATAACTTCATAAATGACGTCGCGCAAGGTCAACATTGCAAAAGTGACGCATCGAACCTTGCAAGGAGTGCATGAAATCACGATTCGGTGTGCTTGAGATAGTTGGAGATCGATCGTTCCCGGCGCCAGAAAAAGTTTTTAGTTTATCCCCATTGACTTATACCTAATGGTGAGGTCACGAAAATGACCTGACCTCATATGAACTTTAGGAAAAATCCGAGATATACATTATACAAGCTGAGAGACTCCTATTGGATACTAGGTCCTCCAAGGTTCATTTCCCTGTGAAATCTCCTCTGGCAGTGAGGGCGTTGCGAAGTTGCGACATCTGAAGACCGTGCAGAGGTTCACTTATGACCACATGGGTCAGTGACCTGATCTGATCCGAAAATGCGGTTGGTGTCAAAAGATCCCGTTTGATTCAGAGGTCAGGTATGCCAAGCTTCAGCTCTCTATCGCCGGCGTGTTCGGAGCTATCGCGAAAAAAAAACTATGGAGGGGCGGCACCCGCCCCCCCCCCCCGGCCGGCGAGGGTTAAGGCCCTCAGAGACCAGTACAGGGCCTGCAAAGGGCAGGATGAGACCTTAAGATGCCGACTTGGGCCATCAGAGGCTAATGTGGATCCTTACAGGCCAGTATGGGCCCTCAGAGGTCAGTGTGGGACCCTAAAATGCCGGCATGGGCCGGTGTTGGACCCCAGAGGCCAGCAGAAGACCCTCAAAAACCAAGATGGGCCTCAGAGGCCGGCATCAGGTCTTCAGAATCCCGTGCAAGGCCCTCAGAGACTAATGCGTGTCCTTACAGGTCAGCATGGGCCCTTAGAGGTCAGTGTGGGGCCCTAAAAGACCGGCATGGGCCGGCGTTGGACCCCTCAGGCCAAGGTGGACCCTCAGAGGCCGATGCGGACCCTTAGAGGCCGGCATCGGGTCTTCAGAATTCAGTGCGGGGCCCTCAAAGGCACCTAAAGGCTAGTCTTGGGACCCCAGAGACAGAAATGAGGCCACCAGAGGCCGGTGTGAGGCCCTCAGACGCCGGCTGGGCCGTTGAGGCCGGTTTAGGGGCCCTCAAATGAGGTCAATGTGGGTTCTCAGCGGTCAATGTGGGCGCTTGACCGCCACTGAAGGGCCCTCAGAGATCAGTGTAGGACCCTCAAAGACTGGTTTGGGAGCTGTTAATGGCTAGCGTGGGATTCTTGAGTCTCGTGACAATCGAATAAGGGCCAGAGCCCCATACGCCCATGGGGGCCCATTGGTTGTTTGGGGGGGCCAAATGATATGATGGCCCCCTGATTAGCCTTTGGAGGGGGGAAGGGCATGGCCCTGATCCCCCTCTGCGACCGCCACTGCATTGAAAGTGGAAGGGGGAGGGGCAGAAACAGACATTACTGGCCCCCAGCCTGTTTGAACCGAGGCTGAGGCACGGTCACCCTGGCCCCCAGCTAGTACGCCTTTGACGAACTATGCCGACCCCAAGCAGATAAGGTCAAGCGTTGGTCGTTTGTATACGCATTCTCCTGCACCGTGCTAGTATTGTCTTAGTATTGCCTATACCTTTTTAGTGCTCGCTGTCCCGCGCCTCGTATTCAACAAAATGCTGTCACCAGGACTCACAGTCTTGTCTCTGATATGGTTTCCTTCATTGAGTGAAGGAAATTGCGGTCAATAACGCTGTAGAAACAAAAAGGAATCCTCATTAAGGCAAGCTGAATAGTTGTCAAGTTACCGGGTGGTAGGTTAGGTACAGACAGACACTTAAGTCAGCAAAAAGTGGGGGGGGGGCCAGTTAACATTGCTGGCCCCCCACCTCCGAAAGTGGGGGGGCCATGGCCCCCCCCGGCCCCCCCTGTTCCTACGCCTATGATGATCCCACCGAATCCGGCGTGAAAAATTTATCCTGGATCTATGATCTCACAGGATCTGACGATAAACCAAGAACGTGGATTTATGATCTGAGTGGATCCCACCATGCACAACATTTGAAACCAGGTTTCCAAGTGCTCCTATGTCAATAAGTGCCATAAAACTATGGATTATGGCGTGTTATCACCTAAAATCACTAAATAAGACCGTTTGTGAGTTGCAACGAGTGATTTTTTTGGGATTTCTGTGTTGACCAAAAATAAATGAGAATCCATGATCTCACTGGATCTCAAGCAAAAATACTAGACTCGGATCTATGATCCCTACGGATCTCTCGATAAATTAAAGAGTGAGGATCTATGATCCCGACGGATCCGAGATCAGGATCCGTGGGATCAGATCTCAGATCCATTTTCTCGGATCCATGCACAATGCACATGTCTGATCTTAAGGTGTACGCTTAACAAGGTGCACCACGCTGGGGGATGATTGTCTCACCGGTCAGGTGCACAATGCCGGTGTCTTTGCCGATGGCGTTCTCCGCCTGGCAGTTGTACACGCCGAGGTCTTCATCGCGCACGCTGGCGATGCGTACGCCGTACCGGTACCCCTCCTGGTACTGTTGGTAGTGCGGCCCGTCCAGCGGCGTACCCTTGACGCGGAACCACGACACCTGAAAGATAGGGGATGGACGTCAGAAAAGGGATGGATGGGTGCAGCCCTGGAGGGGAGGGGAGGGGAGCGGTGGGAGGTCGTAGGTTAAAAAACAAAAAACAAATGCAAGACTCACTGTAAAAGATTATCGGGGAATGCCTTTATATACATATGAAAGACTCAAAGCACGCGGCTCCCAGCCATTGATAAATAAAGTGAACACTACACGTCATTGTTCGCAGACGAGCTGCTCCTAACACGGGACCGAAAGGGGTGGTCGCCGGCAGACGTCACTTATCACTCTCACTGCAGTCATCATCAGTCAGGCGACAGTTCCCGATAGTGTGACGTGTGTTTAGGTTAGCGGTGACACCACCTCTGAACCCTCCCCTCCCTCCCCGACCGGGGACTATTGTCGGAGCGGGTCGGTAACAGATCCCGTCACCCCGTGGTCACTGCTGTAAACACCCACACATTAGCAGTCCAGGGCGGCTGGTAGATGTCAGTAGTCGCCGGTAACGGGTGTATCAGGTTGTTGGTGATGGTGTCTGCCAGATAGGATTGTAACTAGTGACTACAAGTGACTACAAAAGTTACCAGATGATTGGAGGAGGCGTTCTCAGATCCAGTTGCTGGCCATGGGCGAGAAAATCAGTGATGTGTCGATACTAATGAGGATTACGTTCTGTGTTCAGAGTTAATGAAGCTCCAGCCAGAGCTGACAAGGCACATTTTGCAGCCCGAGTAACCGGAAACCGTATACAATGATTAGCGCTCTCATTAGCCGAACACGATCCTACACTGAATTTGACACGCCGTTGTCGGCTTCTCTCTGAGCGGTCGAACAGATCCGGCTAACATTTCACTGTCCGCAGCGACGCATACCAGCACGAGCGAGCTCCTATTACTGGAACCAAATGTGCTGTGCGTGTCCTCAGGGTCATCTCAAGTCGGCCTCATCACTATAAAAGTCGGCATTTAGGGCTCCATTACGGTTTATGAACGCGCACTGCGTGCAGTTAGGAACAGTCATAGTCATTGGCGGGCGGGTGGAAACCGAGCTGGTTCCTGACCGTTCCATAAACTGCGGTGTCACCGACACGGTAAATCGAACCATGACGGACCTGAGTGCTCTCTGAATTCGCCCGCTGTAGCGCTTGCATGCCCTGCAGTGCCAGCACAATCACATGACAGAGCATGCCGACACGATCAGCGGCCAGCAGCGAAGGGTGAATCATCGGATCACGCATATGAATCACGTATTTGCCCTGCGCGGTAACATAGACAAAGACAAAACATACAGGGTGATCGAAAAAAAATGTCACCCCTAACTTAAAATCTAAATAACTCGCGACTGGTAGGTCGGATGACTTCACGCCAGGCAGCATCGGAAAGAGCAGGCAATTTCTTTTCAATTGAATGTATTCATGATTGTTTTCTATTACAAATCATGTCCCCATGGGCTCAAAAACCAGTCAATGTCCGGCTTTCACGTGAAACGAAATTCACCGAACGGGATCGGACACCGCTGAACGAGAACAATGAGTATCGTAACTCAACATAACACACACCTTACACATTACACATGGAGTGTATGTTGTTCACTGCAGACTGTTTCTCAGCTGACCTTAGACTTGTTTCTCAGCTGACCTTAGGCAAGGAAGACCTTATCAGATCTTCCTTGCAAATATGCGGCCTCATTATTCACAAATTCGCCGGTAACTAGCGAATTATTGCGACAACCTGCACTACCGGATCAATTTTATGCAGCGGTAACATGGAACAGTTAAGAAAAATGCTCACGTGAGCTGTCAGATCAAAAACTCTGTCAAAAGTACAAATTTGCACAACCAAACTTTTGAACACGCAAATTTGCGTCCTTAACATACTTTTTTAATAGCTACATCTTCGTTTGCGGCATAAACCATGCATATTTACATCCATTCGAAAGAAAATTGTATGCTCTTTCCAATGCTGCCTGGCGCAAAGTCGTACGACCAACCAATCGCGAGTTATATGGCTTTAAAATTAGGGGTGACACTTTTTTTCGATCACCCTGTACAAACATAGTCATAGACAAACATAGACAAAGGACTCAGCAGACCCACATAATCGGAGACCAGCAGCGGAGTAGCGGGTCGCCCATCAGACCTCAGCAGGTCAGATAGCCTACAGAGGGGTCGTTCCTGACAGATATTAAATCGCTGACCGACTGATTGGAACAATTTAGGGTTGATCATTAGTTTGGAGCGAACAGTATACGCCGGTCGAACTCCAAGGGTTGGTTTTGTTCGGACAAAGGGTTGGTTCGAACTACAAGGGACCACCATTGCCCCTCCCCTTCCCCTCCCAGACGTCCAGCACACTGCTGGAGACGGCGAATGGGGCTGAGGGGAGGTTGAGTCAAGTGCACGAGCGGCGCATCAAAGGCCCCATGAGGCTATCAGCTGACTTCCGCCAACGAATACAGTGTATACAGCGTCATCACTGCCAAGCATTCAATTAGACCGGGCGGCTCGTGCCGCGAGCATCAAAGGCAGACATGCCAGGCTGCTCGACCAGGAACCGCCAGCAATCATAGTCAACCGCAACCCATCAAAGTCAGTCGAAAATACCATCTAATCGCGATTCTGCGCCGATAAAAGCATCGAACCATATCGAATTAAAACCACCAAACCTACAACAAAACAACCTAACCACTCCACAACTGCTTATATCCATTACGTGACTTGACATATACCTACTTGCGAGCCATAATGCGGCTTAATGCCTAAAGGCACCAGTCACACGTCCTTACACAGACCTCATTCGTTCTAACTCCCCTTCGTCTCCGACACAACGCCACTCGCCTCCCCAACCATTCTCCCGTCTGACGCCAGCGAGCATGGTGCTGGAGACAGCTTTTTGCAAACGCTGCCGAAAAACTCCTCCGAGTGGAACTGATGGTGAGGGCACGTCGGAACGCGGGCCGACGACCGCTGAGCCCCGCCCGTCTCTCACCAGAGGGGCAATACGAGTCCGTAGGTGGCCTGGCAGATAAATCACGCCCGACATGATGTGTTTGTTCCTGGGTGAAGGGGTCGCTAATGGCAATGACGTAATTAGATATGGGAGATGGGGGAGGGGCTGATTGGTGCCGGCGCTGTGAATAGTCAAGTTCTATAACGATTATACGCGAGGTAATAATGGCCCATATGAGCCAGATGAAAAAGGGAAATGTTCAAAGCACAAACACCTTCGGGTCTGCTTCTTGCCCGAAAGTTGCAATAAACTATGTTCTGATTATTTGCAAAGAATAGATGAAATACCAGATCAAATGCACCAAACAAGTCCCATGCATGTGAGCCGTAGGGCTATTGCCTATTTCAGCGCTAACTGAATATTCACATTGTTTACAAATGACCGAAAGAAGTTATTACCATTGATTATTAGCAAATACTGCCAAGCTCAGAACTCTCAGGGAAATTGACGAAGCGAGTAGTATGTATATTTCCGGGCTACCGATCAATAACCAGCGCAGCATTCGATTTCCCTGTCCCCGTAACTGGGCCGGCTGACATGAAAATCGCCACCCAGCACAATTATCCCGCTCCTAACGCGATGCCGTTCCGGCCCAGCTGCCAATTCGCCCCTCTATGGGCCCACTTTATGGCCCGGCCGACCCAGTCCCGTCCGTGCATCTGGCGTGATGGCCCATCCCGGCCACATGTCCTTCGCTCGCCCCCTCTGTCCTCCACTCCACTCTGCCGCGGGCCCCGTCAGTCTCTTTGGTCACACTGCTCGTTCAGCCATCTCCCCGGACCCCTGCGTCACTCATTGTGCCAATTAACAGTATTTGCTGGGTGGCGGCGCCCTGTACTTCGTCTAACTTTGAGGGGGGAGGAGATGTGCCGTTTTAACGAGATGTCACGGGACAATCTAGAGTGGGACGAACCAATCTGACCCCCATGCCCTTCCACAAAGTATCAGCTCCGGATAGCAGACTAAGTTTGACTAGAAAACTCCCGGATACAAGCGTAAAACATACACCCACGTTCTGTGAACGATTTTAAAAGTTCGGCGGGGTCGGCTTCAGTGAGAACATCTGGAAAACAGTTTAGATAAATGGACGTGACAAAGAATGGTTTAACATATTTCTAGAAAAACGTGAGGAGGGAAACCCCATGAGCAAAAGATAAACAATAACAGACGTGTGGAGAAGACAGGTTCAGTTTGTAAAAAATACGCTTTGTTGACGGGTGAATGGTCAGATGGCGTTCAGCTCTAAGTATACGGGAATTCACCAGAACGGTGCAGGACGAGTCAGCCGAGCGAGAGGCGTGGAGCGTGAGGTGTGGAGATGTGAAGTGTGAGATGTGAGGTGCGGGTTTCTCACCACTGGCAGCGGCTGTCCCTTAACGTTGCACTCGACGGCCGCCTCGTGGCCAGCGCCGGTATACACGATGTCATTGTCCACCTCCACCTGAGGCGGAACTGTAACGGGAAAGAAAACACACATCAACAACGGCAGCAACGAAGAAACATCTATCCACGACAGACGCACAGAGCACAACCTGCATCAACAGGGGCATCAGGCTAGCACAAACATCTTCAACAGATGGGTAACTGCGCTATAAGTCGACAGAACTGGATGGGCACACAGACAAAAAACATCAATAACGGACAGGTGAACAGCTAACAACGTCATCCGCACTTCAGGTCTGAGAGAGTGCCTCTGCACAGTGGCGGTCGCAGGGGGGGGGGGGGGGCATCAGGGCCATGCCCCCCCCAAAGTCAAATCAGGGGGGCCATCATATCATTTGCCCCCCCCCCAAACAACCGATGGGCCCCCATGGCCGTATGGGGCCCTGGCCCGTATTCGATTGTCACGAGGCTCGAGAAACCCACGCCAGCTATTAACAGCTCCCATACCAGTCTTTGAGGGTCCTACACTGACCTCTGAGGGCCCTTCAGTGGCGGTCAAGCGTCCACATTGACCGCTGAGGACCCATATTGACCTCTGAGGGCCCTCCACTGGCCTTTGAGGGCCCCTAAACCGGCCTCAGGGGCCCAACCGGCGTCTGAGAGCCTCACACCGGCCTCTGGTGGCCTCATTTCTGTCTCTCAAGTCCCAAGACTAGCCTTTAAGTGTCTCTGAGGGCCCCACACTGGATTCTGAAGACCCGATGCTGGCCTCTAAGAGCCCGCATGCATCGGCCTCTGGGGGCCCATCTTGGCCTTTGGGGGCCCTCCGCTGGTCTCTGATGTCCAATGCCGGCCCATGCCGGCCTTTTAGGGCCCCACATTGACCTCTGAGGGCCCCATGCTGGCCTGTAAGGACCCACATTAGCCTCTGAGGGCCCCCGCACTGGATTTTGAAGACCCAATGCCGGTCGCTCAGGGCCTGCATCAGCGTCTAAGGGCCCATCTTGGCCTTTGAGGGCCCTCCGCTGGCCTCTGGGGTTCAACGCCGGCCCATGCCGGTCTTTTAGGGCCCCACACTGACCTCTGAGGGCCCATGCTGGCCTGTAAGGACACACATTAGCCTCTGTGGGCCCCGCACTGTATTCTGAAGACCCGATGCCGGCATCTAAGGGCCCGCATCATCCTCTGAGGACCCATCTTGGCTTTTGAGGGCACTCTGCTGGCCTCTGGGGTCCAAAGCCGGCCAATGCCAGTCTTTTAGGGTCCCATTCTGACCTTTGAGGGCCCCATGCTGGCCTGTAAGGGCTCGCATTAGCCTCTGAGGGCCTCTCCACACTGGATTCATAAGACCCGATGCCGGCCTCTAAAGGTCAGCATCGGCTTCTGAGGGTCCATCTTGGCCTTTGAGAGCCTTCTGTTGGCCTCTGGGGTCCAACGCCGGCCCATGCCGGTCTTTTAGGGCCCCACACTGACCTCTGAGGGCCTGTGCTGGCCTGTAAGGACCCACCCTAGTCTCTGAGGGCCCCGCACGGGCTTCTGAAGACCCGATGCCGGCCTCTAAGGGCCCGCATCGGCCTCTGAGGGCCCATCGTGGCCTTTGACGGCCCTCTACTGGCCTCTTGGGTCCAACGCCGGCCCATGTCGGTCTTTTAGAGCCCCACGGTAACCTCTGAGGGCTCCATGCTGGCCTGTAAGGACCCACATTAGCCTTTGAGTGCCCAATTCGGTCTCTGATGGTCTCAAACTGCCCTTTGCAGGCCCTGCACTGGTCTCTGAGGGCCGTAAACTGGCCCCTAATGGCCCAAACCAGCCTCTTAAGGTCCCACACCGGCCTTTGATGGCCCTATTATGTTCTCGGGGGGGGGGGGGCTCAAGCCTTACCTTTGGGCGTCACGCACTTGCCTCTGAAGGCCCACATCAGCCTCTGGGGCCCTACCTGGGGCCTTTGAGGCCCTTCGCTGACCCTTGGGTCCAACGCCGGCCTCTGGGGGGTCTGACACCGTACTCTAAGGGCCCCATTGCAGCCTCTAGGCGATAGGTATCGCCAAAGCGCTATCGATGGGCCCATAAGTGTAGGAACCATGGGTGCAGTGGGCGCAGTTGCACCAACAATAATTCTGCAGTGGGTGCAGACAATGTATTCTGCCTCCACAATAATCTGGAACAAACCCCCCTTTTCTCAGCAACACTACTTTCCATGCAGCACGACAAATTTAGGATATTTGGCTCACTACCCATCTTCCGAAGCATTTGCTACTGCAATGGCCTTCAAAACTTACATTTGTGCTCAAGTAAAAAAAAAAAAAGAAGATGAAACGGAACACATGTGATTGAACAGTGAACAGATACCGATGACCCACTGTCAAAAGTTTTAGCACGATGATCTTAGAAAATGGCAAAGTTAGCCGCGCCGCCACTTTTGCGGTAGTCCATTCACAGTTGCGTGAATTATTGACAATATCAATGCATCAAACTGCACTTATCGGTACCTTTTCGACATGGTACACCCTCAAAGCTCGCATTTCGCAATGAGCCTCTTCTCGGGTGCCGCTCCCTACCCCCCCCCCCCCAGCTTCACCGGCCATGGCCTGGATTTCTGCACCCGTGCACTACGTCCATGGGCCCCTTTAAGCTAGCACCGGGCCCCCCGGGTGAGCGAAGGGGCCCCTTTGACAAGTTGGCCCCCCCCAAACTCCAAGTCTGCGACCGCCCCTGCCTCTGCAGCAAACTAACTAGTCTGTTAACCCTTCCGCGGACAGGTAATAATCGCGAGCTTCAAAATAAAGCGAATGTCCGGGAAACGAAAAAGGACTACGAACGGCTCTTCTGACCAAAGCTATGTAAGCCTGTTAGCTATAAAATGCACTGAAATAAAAGAGATGCGTAAAAACAGTCTAGTTTTAATTAGGCGAATTTCAACAACCTTTTTGACATAATAAGCACTAATTCTACTCCATAGAAAACCGGCAATCACTTTCTGTCATGTACCTATCCATAGAAAGGTGATATGAGGGCAAAGTGAAATAAAACAAATCCATTGCGAAAAACTTCTAAATGGTTTTGCTATTTTTTTTTTAGAAATATGACATCGTTGAGCCGTGAACGGGCACATGGCACATGGCTTTTCGCAAGACGACTAATCGCTTATATGCTAAAATGAGATCACCAGTATGCAACAAAGAATCATGCATGCCGATGTCTTACATCAATATTTGCAGCCGCTTAATTAACTCATGACCATACGTCATCGGCAACGCAGAACGCGATCAAATGAGATCCCTCTCTAAAACACATTTCAACATCTGGTTTATATCCGCTTCATCCGTGTACGAAGAACCTAGGGATCAAAGCCCTCGGTCTCGTCATCGTCCAACATCCACTGCACCAGTCCCGTCTGGCGCCTTCCTAGACTCAGCGTCCAAGAGCTACCAGCCGCCGTCTGGCCCCTCTCCCCAACGCTGGGGAGCCCGCAGACACCGCCCGGCCTGAATACGTCACCATCGCTGAGGAATGCGGCGAAGCGGAGCACTCTGTGTTTTTCTTGGCGGAGCTGCGTGCTTAACGGCGACAGGTGGGGCGGCTGGGCGCGCAGGGAAACGAACGGTAACGGTGGAGGGAGAAGGGGAGTGGGATGCTAAATCGGAGGTTAGGGAGAGAGGGGAGAGGGCTCGGTATCAGAGGCGAGGGAGAAGGGAGAGGGGCAATTAACTTTGGAGGTCAGGGAGTGGTAAGTGGGGCGTGGTTTCGGACAGGTAAGGAAGGAAGAAGCTATGTTTGAGAAGACATGAAGATACAGAAATTTGCACTGCCTTGGAGTTTCAGGAGCAGGGAGCATATGACATTGTCTCAAAGGCTCAGGAAAGGGAGGTACCGTTCAATAGGCCGAGGAAGGGAAGGGTGTGAGACAATGTCTATGCCTGGGTCAGTGGGCGGCGAGCACACATGTGCACCGGGCCGGCCACAGGTGGCCGCCCATTCCCGACACACATGTGGGCTGACTGATACAGACAGGTGGCGGAGCAGCGCTCGGCAGACGGTGTGTCGCACCAGCCAAATGGAACAGACCCGCCTCGACTTGGCCGTCACAGCGAGAAAGTCTGGCGCTGGAGATATATGGCTTGTCTGAGGCTTAGAGGGGTTGTTTAGGAAAAGCAACAGGGCTTACTATCGGTGTTTCTCAGAAATAACACACGTCAAACTATATTTAAGCCGTGACACGTAATCATCAGATAGCTGGCCACAGCGGAAAACCCAACAACCATAAACACAATGTTGCAGACAAATAATCAGACACCAGACACGACAGTAGGCAGACAGAACAAAATCGTCACAAGGTTAAGGAGAGGTAATCTGGCCAGTCGGAATACGGTAAAGTTTTCAGCCCTTTCAGCCACATTTAGCTTGATTCGAACTGTCCACTTTCCGACAACCTCCCCGGTTCCGTTTCGTTTGGCATTTCACCTCGAGGTGATAGTAGAGCAGCATCGTCTCCCTGCACGCTACTCACAGTTGACCTCGAGTCGGATGTGCTCGGTGGCTGGATCTCCGACACCGTTCTCCGCCGTGCAGAAGTAGTCGCCCACGTGAGCGCCCTTGACAGCAGGGATCACCAGCCGTTTACCGGTGTGTTTCTTTTCTTGGTACGGCAACAGATCACCCTGAGGTAACGGAACGATACAAAAACGTGAGGATAGAAGCAGAGGCACAAGGGACAGGCTTGCGAAACACATGAAATGATGTGACAATGCTGGCGAAGTGATTTCAATCGACAATCAACGTCTAGGAGGCACATCCTTGGCACAAAAACAAAATATCGATACAATAAAGAGTATGTCAATAATTTTGCAAAAACAAAATACCGATACAATAAAAGTCCGATACGGCATTCTGCACAACATTTTACGAAAAACAGCCACAATACGCATAATTATCAGCTGAGCTGCCCTGTCGTCTGTTGGTCAAAATACGTTCCGGAGGTCACCATTCTCTCACCTTCTTGGTCCAGGTGACGATGGGGACGGGGAAGCCGCTGGCGATACACTCTAGCACCACCTCATTGCCCTCCTCCACCACTTTGATACGGCTCTCGGGCCGCACAGTGATTGTTGGAGGCACTGTGGAGACGCACGGTTTACAGTCAGGGTCAGCTGGGGTCATCTGGGATCAGTCTGGGGGTAGGCCAGCTCACACGAGAGTATATGTTGAGGTAGCTGGGTTAGTCTTGTGCTGGCTGAAGCTAGCAGAGTCCCATTGAGGTCAAACAAGACCATCTTTTGGATTTGTTGGGTTTAGCCAGAGTTTTAAGTGGCTTTGATGAGATGGGTCTTGGTCTGCCCGAGATAGCACGTAGGTAAATAATGACATGAAATGAATTGAAGTGCACGACGTATAAAAAAGTGCATGAAGGCGCGCAAAAGTATTACAACCCACAGATCACACTCCGCTCACATGTAACATAACTCAAACCGTATACAATGAATGTCCTGTCTTAGATCAAGGTTACGAGTAGACTTTGCGTCCGTTGGGCCCCCCTGTAGAGTTTATTTGCACGGTGCGTGGTCATGGTGCATGGCTCGCGGTCAAGCCACATAGGTCGGTTTATTTTCTCGACTGAAATGAAAAATGAAATTAATTTATTGACCAGGAAAAGCAATGGTGGGTGGAGCTAATGGTAATGTACGCTTAACAGTGCAATATAAAAAATATACCCTGATATAAAAATGAATTCTTAGGTGTTGTTTTTATCGCTGGGACTGAGAGCGTGAGATGATGTTTTTCGTACTCCAGCGTAGATGGGTAGCCATACGGCTTCCACGGTTGACAGTGATGACATCAGTCATCTTTTGCAAACTCGTTAAAGATATCCCCGTACAGCCCAAATCTTTAACAAGTTTGCAAAAGATGACTGATGTCATCACTGTCAACCGTGGAAGCCGTATGGCTACCCATCTACGCTGGAGTACGAAAAACATAAAAATGAATTATATTTTTATTTGCAAATAACAAATGGGCGGACAACGCAGTTCAGGATCACAAGCCACGTGCTTCACCGGCTTCAGCAGCAAATGAATCGCACATCTCGCATTTCATTTCGATGGCTTGTAGCGCTACTCCAAGACAAGCAGCATCCTTGTATCGTTAAGCATTTAAATCATTGCCTTACACAGTGCCGAAACATCTCAGCAAGACCCTTGTAGAGCTCTGCCCCTTGCCTTTCCACCCTGCACCCTGTCCTGCTCCAATCCTCAGTACCAACCCTGAATCCTAACGTGGTGTTTGAGGTTGATCGGCGTGCTGGAGCTGATCTGACACTGGTACTCCGGACTGTCCTTCTGGTCCACTCCGGCTATCACCAGGCTGTTTCCCAGCTGGCCCGGATCCTGCAGGCTGTACCGGCTGTCCGAGGTCGTCTTGTAGTCGCCGGTGAACAGTGTCTGGTCACCGGCCCTCCAGACAACCACCGCGTCACCTGGATAAGGGGAGGGGAGGTCAGCGTGTTATCACCGGCCCTCCACACAACCACCGCGTCACCTGGACAAGGGGAGGGGGGGGGGGCTCAGCGTATTATCACCAGCCGTCCAACGGACCACCACGTCACCTGGACATAGTGGAAGCGAGGGGGTCATACATGTCTAAGACAAGGTCCAGGGAATCATCATCATCATCATCATCATAACCAAGTTTATTAAACAAAAAATACTTTTTAGATCGTCAGAATCTAAAGAATCGTCACAAGGGAATGCTGTATTAAAAATCATTGTCAAAGCGTGAACATTCTTGGTAAATAACAGACGGCAGTAGAGGCCGGGTACGTACTTACATTCAATAAGATTCGTTACTGACATGCAATAAGAGTTACCCATCAGCCGGACCTGCGGTGTCGGACACTCACCAAGTTTATCCACCCGGCAGGGCAAGGTGACGGTGTCACCAGCCTTCACAGCCAGGTCCAGCGGCTGGCTGGTGAACTTGGGCACGTGCGACGACACCGTCTCCTCGGCCTCCTCGTCAAAGATGTACTCATCTTCCGGGTAGGCGACTGCGGGCAGACAAACGAGATTGGTTAGGTTGTGCAATGATAAAAACAGTCAACCCCTGGTAATCAATAGGAATTATAGGAAGTAAACATGCCTGATAGTTGAGTTGGTAGGGATCAATGCAGCTGGCGCGATCTATGTATGGCCGGGACCAAATCTACCACAAAGACGTTGAGTTGATTTATGTCGTGCGTTTGAACACCCTGCTTCCGAGAACGTCGCGCACGACGCTCTACTCGCGGCGTCCTCATCAATCATTGAACTGAATCAGCGGTACGGGCCTGCGGGAGGGGGAGGGGTCTGGCCTTGGCCTGCCACGCCCGTTCCGCCGAACAGGGCTCCAACAGCCGGTGACATGTCACGTTATCGATCGGGCCCTCCCTGAACTGCCCTGGAAGTGGATCAGGACGGCGCCTCGGGCAGGACAAGTGCTACCAGAGGTCGAGGGAGCTGCTTCTCGGCAGCTCCCAGGCCGAGGAGCTGTTCTCAGCCTGGGAGTTGAAATTCCAAAGGGACGAACGGTGCGGGGGCAAGGGCAATTCCCCTGAGTTGATCCCGAGTTTGTTGATAAAACAGTGAAGTCACTCTTCCGATCTGTGGACTCAGCTAGAATTCCTGCGGTACAGGGGTAGTATATTTGCCAACCCTGTACTATCACCCCCGTCATTTCCGTCACCCGCCCCCCACCGACGCGCCAGCTGTCATCCCGTTGGCGTCTGTCACAGATGACACTCCGCCCGGGAACGGTTCGGATGACGTCATTTCGATGACTCAGCCGCCAGCCGGCGGGCGTGGTTCGTCGCAGGCGTCGAGTCGCCGGCGTCGCTTTAGCGGCCTTGGGGGTCCCTCGTGGTCCACTGGTAACGAGCCGACACGACCAGGCGCGGGGAGGGGGAGGTGACTCATGGGAGGGGTGAGTTAGCTTTATGAAGGAGGGTGGCGTATAGCGGACCGGGGCGGGAGCACGGAAGATGGATGACCTCCAGATCCTCTATGAAATTGCCCTCTGGACGGAGTCGTAGATAGCTTCATGAGTTGGCGCCTACCGTCCAGATGTAGTTGAAAGATTATCGATAAGTTCTTGCAAGATTCCACGGCGCACGCCAGCCCTACATGATTTATGGTAACCGTAGGAAATGAAGAAATAATGGAACACCTCCCACCTGGACCACAAACAGCAGGCGCATGAATGATTCTAGCCACCATCCGTCCTGCACAGAAGCCATGGACACAGCAGGAGGCCGCAACACTCGACAGCTCATTTCCTCGGCCACCAAATGTCCCGCGGTTCGGCAAACCGACCGTTACCCCGGCGGGGGGAACCACAGCGACGCTGCAACTGCAACGCTGTGCACCGCGTGACTCGCGGCTCGCCCCCCCCCCCCCCCGCGCAGCTAACAGCTGTCGCTAGGAAACCATGGAACACATGTGGCGGCAAGGCGATGACTGTCGAGCGTCGGAGCGTCGGGTGACCCTCGACTTTTGAACGGACCAACGCGGGGGACATCAGGCAGGGAGGTCGAGGCGCCTGGGTCGCATGTGGGCGGCGCCCGAAGAAGCAGACTGCTGCTGTTTACCTTGGTGATGATGGTGATTATGCTGATGTTGTTGTTGATGATGATGATGATGATAAAACAGTCACCGTGTTGATGATAACGATGATGGTATAAATGACGGTAGTGATGTTGGTGATGATGATGCTGTCCTTGGTGATGGTGGTGACGATGGTGACGATGGTGAAGTCGCCGGCCCGATGTGTAGGAGCGCACGGTGTGGCACCCTCGCCCACTATCTCACTATCTCGGCCTCATACCACGCGTCTGACATCACGGACGCCTGGAGCGCGTCAGGGCGCACGCCACGCCGGCGCCAGCGAGAGCACTCTTTCGATCATACTGGCGCCGAACGGAGATAGGCCGAGGGAAGACGACTGGCGTAGCGCGTGCCTGTGTGACGGCACTCGGTATGGCACATTACTCTGGGCGTGCCAGTAGTGCCGGAAGAGCGCCCCACCGCGAAGTGTGAGTCACTGAAGGAGCTGGCAGCGGGCCCTGAAGGAGAATGCAGGGGGAGTTCCTCCACGTCAGCCGTGGATACAGTGACGTGAGGAGGGGACAGACAAAGGCTACGTGACGAATAAACGGTCACACCACTCCTCCACCGAGTCACCTATATGACGCATGAGTCAATAACGAAGGCAAACACAAGAGTATGCATGAACATAACCCATTAACCATTTCAACTCTCAGAAATATTGACAGTGATCAAAATTTGAAAACGATAAGTGCCGTAAAACCGAACTACAACGAGAACAATGCATCCCGTCACCTATGCGGGCGACGGGACAGACTGCTGCTTTCACAAGTAAACGTGAAATGGCCTATGTATCATAAATGGCATGAATAAGTACCAACCGACGATGATGTATTCTAACGACGACGCCTGCCCGCAGTTACGGAAGGTTCGGCGTGTGCCTAGTGACCCCTGACAACAGGGATGCGGAGCCGGAGCCGGAGTCGGAGCCGGAGCCGCCGGAGCCGGCATATTTTGCCCGGAGCCGGAGCCGGAGCCGGAGCCGTGAAACAATATAGACCGGAGCCGGAGCCGGAGCCGGAGCCGCCAAAAAAGGGGGCGACTCCGGCTCCTTTTTATTTTTTGAAGAGGAAAAAAAATAATTGACCTAGTTCGGTTTGACAGTACAAGGCAGTGAATCGGTATTAGGGTCCCCTAATAAAGTTTAGTGGCCCCTCTGGAGTGTGAAGACCAGCTGGGTCGGAGTTGGGTTGGGGAGCGGCAGTCCGTGGGGAGGGGCGAGGGCGGGGAGGGCGAGGGAGGAGACGAGAGGACAGTCGTCAGTCAGTGAGAGGGGACGACGGTGACAACAGAGGCGGGCCGCGAGTGGCGCGTCTCCCACCCCCCATCCCCAACGGCGCCAATGTCCTCAACATTGTCTCCTCCGTCTCTTTTTCGTTTTTTTTATTACTTCTCTCCCTCTCTCGTCCGACGTCGTCTCACCCACGGTTGTGGCGGATGAGGAGCGCAACCGAAAAATGGGTGAGTACGGCCAACAACAGCCAAACGGGAATGGGTCGCAGCACGGGACACAGTAGCGACAGAGAGGAAACACTAAACATATGGTATGTACTTACGTCATGGGCAATCAAGTGAATGAAAAAAGCCGAATATCCCCAGTATCCCACAGTACGCAATCAACTTCCTGTCTGCTCCTCCCCCCCCCCCCCCCCACGTCTACTGCATCCCCAGAACATGAGGACCGGTCATCAGGTGACGGCCATTGTTTTCAAGCCAGTGCAGTGGACTGCGACTCCCAGCACCGTCTCTGCCGAGACGGGTGTCAGCTTACGATGGTTCAGTGAACTCCGATTCGCGGCGACTGCGTTTCCAATGCCATCGCTTCCTAGTCCTTTGTTCTGCCAGTTCTCTCCGAGGTGCGTTTGCGCGGGGACGCGGTCATGAGCCGGTCATGGCAAAGAGTAACGCGTATAACCAATCCAATTTTCTTCCACCCGTATTTAATTGATTGCATAGGGGATGTACTGAGTCGGAGTCGGAGGCCGGAGCCGGAGCCGGAGCCGCCGGAGCCGGACCATTTTACTCGGAGCCGGAGCCGGAGCCGGAGCCGCCATAACATTTCACCCGGAGCCGGAGCCGGAGCCGGAGCCGCGATTTTTTCTCCGGAGCCGGAGCCGGAGCCGGAGCCGTCTGAAATTTCCACGGCTCCGCATCCCTGCCTGACAACATCTGGCCTCGTACAACCTTGGCATGACCTCGCGAGCCGCCTCGCCACTCGACTAATTAAAGCCGCATGAATAAAAGATGGGCGCCATCACCATTTAGCCGGCGTGCTGCGGGTGCTGGGGATGTCATGTGGCGGTGACGCCTGAAGCTGTGAGCTGTGGAACGTTCACAATGGGGCAACAGGCGGCGAGGACACATCGCTTCACAGTAGATCTCGGATAGCATTCACATTGGGCCACAATGGAGCAACAGGCGGCATTCGGCAACACATTGCCCCACATTCGGGATTGAATAACATCTAAAATAAGGCCGATTAAAGCAACATACAAAGACAAGTTCCTAGAAAGGCCGAGTCCACTGCCGGCTGATCCATGGGTTATGGAGTTCATTATCATGAAATGCGACATTCCGTGACAAATCTGTAATGTTCAACGAGTACGAGCATTTCCTTTCTGACCAGACCACGAAGCTAGACCGGCGTCGGAGGCCCACCGCCGTGCAATGTCCATATAAGGAGGGATGCGCTGCCGTTTAGAGCAGAGACCGGCTGGAGGCGCACGTCAATTGTTTATATCTGGGCTACAGTCACTGCACGACGGCAGCCATAAAAGGATAGCCGGGTGGCGCCTGCACAGACCGCAGCAGACCACATCTGCATCATATATTGAACGCCAGAGTTGGACTGACTCCGTGTACCGTGACTGGTGGATGAGAACTGAGGGTGTTCAAATGCAGATTACCATGAAGAAGTGTCAGAGATCAGTAACGTTAGGGAGGACTTCTTTCAATATAACGGAAAACATATTAGCATGAGCGACCCATGGCCCGATAACGCTTTTGAGGGGCAGATTTGTTCGCAGCCGTACATCCTTTGGCAAACTGTTTATTCTGTTGGACAGCCCCAGTGCCCCCCCCCCCCCCACGTCAGTTGTTCCTGCCGTCAGTTCGGTGTGTCGTCCCGTCCACCGGACATCCGCCAAACAACGCTGGGCTGTCTGCCACCTCACACCCGTCGCTCTGCGCCGCGATACGGATCACTCGTCTCCAAAGCGGCGTTTTTGCGCTCGGCACTGTCAGCCCTCGATTGACGTGTCTGCTACCAAATGGCTCGACACAATGCAGCCTAATGCAGGCGCCACGCGCAAAAACGGGAGTCGCCAACTGCACGCCAGACGTCCCAGAGAAGAGGGACGGTACGGGACGCCACGCGACGGGTGGAGAGGAGAGGGGAGGGAGGGGGTAG